ACTTTGAAAATTTCCAAAAAAAATGATTTTTTGCTAAAATTTTGAGAACCACTGGATCTTTTCTAGATTTTCTTTCTTATAAATTTAATCTAATACCTATGTTGCTATATTATCAAGAAATTATGTTTTTTAACTAAAAACTAAAAAAAAATCCAACATTTTCAAAAAATTTCGAATTTTCAAAATTTTATTTTCACGAAAAAAACTTCGTAGGCGTGTTTCTGGGGTTGAATGACTCTACCAGTTAAAATATTTGCACTTATTTCTGGGACACCCTGTATAAAAATCAGCTGTTATGTTTTAACAGCAGGATTACGGAACGTCGTTGCAGCCAGGTTTTTTACGTAAAAAAGGTCTCTTGGTAAAATTGGATAAAAACATGAATAATGGAAAATATTTTCATCAAGATATAACTGATATGGGTAGATATATATTTTGGAAAATATTATGTCTCTCTTGAAACAAGTATTGCATTCTGATTTACTCTCGTACAATTTCACAGACTGGTTCCATACACAGTTTATCCATATATTATGTATTTTTCCATTCATACTCGTTAATTTTTTATCTGTACTCTACCATCTTCTTTAATTAAAGATTTTATCACGAAGTACCTATCTGTTGTTGGCGATTTTTAACGCAGGATATACTGGCTAAAGATTATTTTCTTTGCTTTATTAATGGGTTCAAAAATTATATATTATTAACACTACAGAACAACTGTAGCTTACGATTACTAAATATTTTATGTTATATAGTCTGTCCAACGAGAAGATCCTTGACAGTGATAGATGTGTCTGTCATTTTAATTTCAAAGTAGTTTATTTTATTTTACAAAGAAATAAGTTGGTACAACTGGAACGCATAGCAGGAAATATTTAAAATTTGATTGACAAGATGACAAGTGATTACTTCAAAATATTGTGAAAAAAAATGTATAAAACTGAAAAAATGTAATCGAGTTATTTTATTTAATAAAACTGAAAAAATGTAATCGAGTTATTTTATTTAATAAAACCGGTATGTGTTAATACAAAACAAACAAGAAAAAGACACTACATACCAAAAAATATAAAAAAGAACTATTTTTTACTTTCAAGCTTTATGAAACTACCCGCATTTATGATTATATTTATCAATATAACTTATGTACAAATACAAATTTGTAATATTCCACAGGAATAAATAAAACAACATAGGTAAATAAAACAAACTATTTTATTAATAATAACACCTACCAAATTTTATACCTTAAAGGTTGATTAATTAACTTTAATCTTAATTTTTTTTAAACCAGTACCTCTTGACATTATTTTTCTGCAGTACTAAAATCCATTATTTACCTATCGTGTGATGTCGATATTTTACAGCTACTCCAGTTTTTAGTATGTGTTTAGTTTGATCCTTCTACCATATACGAGATGCACTTATCTACGACGAGATGGTATACAAACTTTAACGATGGGGTGTATAAGACTTTCTGCCTGGGCAGCGAGTATTAACCATAAACTGTGCTCTGGGTCTACAGTTAATTTTCACTCGATTTTTCCTCCACTTGACTTCAAAAGACACAAAACACACGTAATAATACGAATCAAAATGCATCATCTTCCAAAACGTAGGGTATTTAACAAAAGTTGACACAAAATTATAACCTATAATTTGGCAAGACTTTGACAAGCGTCAAAAATGACAAAAATCTAAAGGCGAGTTCATACGCATCGGCGTCCGTTTATCGTTCATCGTTCCGTCAAACCAATAAAATTGAAATACGATCTGTCATTTTTAAATAAACCAATAAAACTGGTTAAAAACAACAAGACACGACGCATGACGGATTTATATTTAAACCCATCCATAGATAACTTAAAAATTATTAGAAACTTTTTTTAGTAAAATAAATAGATTGGTATGGGACGTCATCTGCTTTTCTTCTGTCATCGTCTGTCGAAATCTTACCTGAGAAAAAAAACAGAGTATATTCTACTTAACAATATATTATATTGTATATATTTTTGTGTGGACATACGTGGACAGATTATAAAATTCCATCTAAATTTTTACTTGTCAGAAAAGTGAAATTATTTTTTTTAATTTCACAAACTTTTCAAAACTTTAAAAGTATTTTTGTTAAATACTTTTGTAGATTTCTATACACACAATTATAATTAATGATGTATTGCTATTTTTAAAATCGATTACACAGGTACATGAAACAAAAAAGTGACAGTGTAGTCTTCGATATGATTGGCAAAGAAATCCATTTACCTGTTGCGAAAATAATGATATAGCTTATTTCGAAGAACAGTAGAACAAAATAGTAAAAATAATACACGACATGTTTATTCTTGGTAAAAATAATGACTACATTTTTGTGGTTTGTGTTACACAAATATCATTTAATGCATAATTTTTATACATTTATTTTTAGTTCTACGTTTCCGTAGAAGCGGTTTATTTAGCTTAGCAAAATTTAAAAGGACTGAATATATTATTTTCAGATTCAATTTTTTGAGGAAATCACGTAGCCCACGCCGATGTTTTCTAATATATGCAGTTTCAGATAAACTTCAAAATAATATTAGATAGCAAGTATTTTTGGCTGCTTATCAAATATGGAATGTTTGCATTATTTAGAAAAAAACGATAATATATAGCATACAGTGTTCAGTAAAAAGTAATAAATGCATTCAGATGCAATATAAACAATAAAAACAACGGAGAAAATTTTGGTCAAATTTAAACTGTTATATTTTTGTTATTTTTAGCTCAATTTTCATGAATCTTTTAGCAAACTATATATAATTATATCAACATTAATCTGTAAACTCAGTTTTTTATAAACTTTAGTATTTGGCATATTATACAGGTTTAATCGAGGGGTTGCTTTTTACAACAACTTTGACACACCCTGTACAATAATTTCGTGTCTAAATTTTCCTAAAATATAATTTTACGGTCAGAACCATATCTCCTTAGCATTTTGTTTTTTGGATCATGTCAATACATGCCTTGGTTAATTTTTAAGAGCGAAATGAACTTGCCACCAAAACAATTTGCAATTTGTTCAATTATAATTTCCTTTTGAAGTTTTTTTTCAATATGACAAGACAGCTTTGGTGATTATTGTGAACTATACCGGGTGTTGCATCGTCGAGCGGGACATAGGAAATCCCATGTAAATTTTAATGGGGTCAATTATTGGCTTCCCTAATTATTTTTGAGAATAATTCTATTTAGGTTTATTGAAGAGCACTAAAACCCACATTCAAAAGAATAACTTTAGATATTTTTGATTAGCCCGTTTACGAGTTATCGCCGATTTCTTTTTAAATATTTCTCCTTTCTTATGGCCCTGTATTTGCTTATGAGCACCAGACAAGGTAAAAGATAACTGTTAAATGAAGTTGTCATTTCAGAAATTTATCTATTTAGTGCTCTATTATTATTATTAAAAACTGATACCTACATCGAAAATATTACCCATGAATTACACTACCGAAGAAAAAGTATTGATGGTTAAATGGTATTATCAAGGAAATAGTTATGAAAAGGTGTCGGACATGTTTGCTGCTCTGTATCCGAATAGACCGATACCTGGAAAATCTACAATCGCAAGGAATATCCAGAGATTTGAGACCCTAAGGTACCCTAATAAATAACTGCAGATGTGAAGCAAGGCAGGAACAAAGAGAAGATGCAAGAAGTGATACCTATATTAATAAGTTATTGAATGTTATTTGAGTTAAGTGGTAGAATAGCTTACAGCTAAACTTCGCCCACAAATTGTAACTATCTTTTTTTTATAGTACAATAAAGACGATTTATTATTATTATTATTATATTGTAGTAATACTATAATTAACCTTGGAACTGATTACTTTATTTTACTTAATTTCATATTAATTTGTATTTATAAATACATCTTTAAGATTTCCGATGTAGGAATGAGTTTTCAATAATAATAAAGCACTAAATAGGTAAATTTCTGAAATGACAACTTCATTTGACAGCTATCTTTTACCTTGACTGGTGCTCATAAGTAGGGTTCCCAACCGTCCCGGTTTGGCCGGGATTAACCAGGAATCAGAAAGTTTGTCCCGGTGAAAGTTTTGCCTTGGCCGGGACCTGGAAACTAAAAAAATGTGTACTACACACATAATATATTTTATTTTCTAATATTTAATGTCTTGCTTCAGTTATTTAAAAGCTTAAAAATAATTGTCCCGGAATCGCCGATGCTCAAGTTGGGAACCCTACTCATAAGTAAATACAGGGCCATATGAAAGGAGAAATATTTAAAAAGAAATCGGCGATAACTCGTAAACGAGCTAATCAAAAATATCTAAAGTTATTCTTTTGAATGTGTCACCAAAACCATCTCGCCTTATTAAAAATTACATCAAAAGTAATGATAACAGAAAAAATTGCAAACTGATCGTGATCAGTTCATTTCGCTCTTAAAAATTAACCAAAGTTGGTATTGACGTGATCCAAAAAACAAAATACTCAGAAGAAAAGGTTCTTACCGTAAAATTATATTTTAGCAAAATTTACACACGAAATTATTTCACAGGGTGTTTTAAAGTTAGGATAAAAAAAAACAACCCCTCGGTTAGTGCTGTATAATATGCCAATTAAGTAGTAAAGTTTACAAAAAACTGAGTTTACGAATTAAAGTTGAAATAATTACACAGTTGAAAAATTAATGAAAATAGGGCTAAAAATAACAAAAATATAATACTTTAAATTTGACCCAAAATTTCTCTGTTGCGTTTTTTTTGCACCTGAGTTCTGAGTGTATATAAAAATATATTGTTATTTTTATTATTCTACATTTAGACATCATAAATACTAACAGTATTTGTATACAGGGGTTTTTGCAAATCCATTATTACAAATCTGTGTGTAGCAAAATATTATTGTTGATTATGAATTTTCCCACTTTATGTCTATATAACGTTATTTTTTTATTAATAGATATTCTTCTTTCTTTGCAGGATTATATAGAGGAGTGTCTGCATCAAATCGAAATGATGCTGAAGGAATCTGCGGGTATCGACAACCCCGAGGCCTCTCAGACGGAGGAATCAGCTCTCAGACCGGACGAATTCACACCTCCGCCGCCAAAAAACCCGGAAATCGAAGTACTGACCCCCATTGACGTTCACGACGTCTACTTCTAAAGGATCAGTTGCCCGGTTTCCCGAAAACTCCACTTTGAAATACCTCCACATCGGTGTATGGCTGATGCCCGATAAAAACGATTAAGAAATATAAAAGAATTACGAGGTACCGCTCTTCGGTTCAGACCGTACCATACAGTTTCCATTTTGAGGGGAAGGCAAGAAAAATACGCTTCAATGACGATTTTTACGTTATAAAAATTTGTATAATTCATTAACACAGACTTTTAATTACGATAATGACTTCCGAGGGCATTTAAAACAAAAAAAGTGCAGTTGAGCACCTCGAGCGTCACTACATAATTTTTTTCACTTACCGTGAAATTTATCGAAAAATGTTTTTGTTTTTCCAGTTATATTTTTTGTGCAATATTGTATCAAACAGTTTCCTTTTTTTGTATATTTTTGAAAAACGAAAGAAAAATCTATATTTTTAGGCGTATGGAATTTAGTCACTTGTACATACTACTTAATTTTTAGGCTTAGAATTTTGTTCCTACTTATCTACCAATACCAAAATAGGCATAAATAATCATTTTTATACTTAAGCCGGCATCTCTAAACACAGAAAATGGTTAGTTTTTATTTTACATGTGGATTAGTATTTTTATTCTATATAATTTCTATTACACAACATATTGTATTTTTATAAATAATATCTATAGTAAATCATTGCTTAAAAAACAAACATTTATTGTTATCTTTAAAAGATAAAATTCATATTCGATATTTTTAATAAAACATACAGTAAATATCCTAAAAATAGAAAACTACCTAAATCTGTGTTTTAAGAAGTGTTACAATTGAGACTGTTTTTTTGTTATATATGTGAAAAAAGTATATATAAAACAATATTATAATTTACATTCGTAGTTCTATTCTTAATGTCCGTATATATGTGCATAATTATAATTTTTTGTAATGTTATCTTTAGCTCGCTTTGAAAACTACAGTACAAACTAATTTGGTGTTTACCATACGATAAAGTAGAATCATTGTAAGATGTCGTGTGACCTTGACTTTTATGTATAGATATAGTCTATGCATTGCAAAAAGGACAGACTATATGACAGTTGTTCTGCGTCATTTTAATTTAAAAGTAGATTGTATTTTCGGTCATGTCTATCGAAATCATCCTTGTTTTATATATACTTTATTGGGGATGAATTTGATAGGGTGTTATTAACTGTTATTAACCAACAAAGTCAATGTCACATGTCATCAGATTCTGATCTGATCTTACCTGAATTTACGTCACAGTGCATATTCATTTCAAATTTTGTGATATTTTAAAACACGTTGCCTGGCATGATCTTTTGATCGGTCGCAATAAAAAAAACCTTTACAGTGTGCAAAGTGTCAATAGATCGATTGGTTTAAACTAGTTGCAATTTTATTCTAATAGTTTAAGCTATGTAAGTTAGGTATTGTGTAATTTTAAGTCGTATAAGAACTGAAATAGTGTCGACTTGACATATGGAACGGTCAATTCGTGTTTAATAGCTAGATATTTTATTCCGATTATGTCGTATCTGTTCAGCACTGCCACTTGAGTCCAATACACTCACATTCATACGAAAAAATAAATTATATACCTCAGTTTAGTGTTCTCAGTGCCCTTAATAATTAAGAGTATAAATTTATCCGTATACAAATAATAGTTCTGTATCGACAATTGTAAATTTTATAGATTACTGTTTTTATTTGAAATAAATTTGTAATGTAAGATTTTGTGTTTAATTTACCATTTACTGGTAACTTTTACCTATTACTTTTTCTGCATTCCTCGTTCATCAAGCACTCTGAATGCATATTTGAAGTGAAACTTCTTACTAATAACTATTACGACTATTAAATTTAAGTATTTGAAGAACATGTTTAAAAAAGTGTAGTTTTTGAAATGCTGAAAAAGCGATAAATTAAAAATTAATAAATCATCTGATTCACTTTCACAAAATTTCTGTTAAAATGGTCGTCTGTCCGTCTGAGGACTTCAATCGGGTACCTTTATCAACTTGCCGAGTTTCGTTCCAATCGGCCAATAATTAAGAAAATCCTGATGATTCCGTCCATTGAGAGGCATCGGTTCGAAACGTTGAGGGCGTCATCCTGTAGCCCGTCCCCAATTATGCCGAAATCGATCCACATTCTTCTTAAATATCAAATCCTTAGTCCCACCCTGATGAAAATGTAAACGAAACGTCGCGTCGTATCCAAATATGAAGGGTGTGCAGCGTCATTCAAATAGCCTACCCACCAAATTTGGTCGCGATCGGACCACATCAATTTTTGACGTTTCTTACGTCAAAACTGCCATTATTGTGACACGTGTCGCACACGGTCAAGTTGGCCTTGGTCCAATCTATCGAAATTACCAAATTTTATTTAAATCGAATGATCTTTTCTAAGCCGTAGGCTGTCCTTACAATTTTTATTGCCTGTCGTGTCGCGTGTTGTGTCAAGGTCTTGAATGTTTACTCCCAGCGAGCGTAAAGAAGATTCACTTCAAAAACATTTTATCATTTTTTACATAAATTCACTTTTATTTTGAACTTCAAATAATCATCTTTTATAAATGAAAATACTAAGAACAAACAAGCTGATCCTCAGTTACCTTATTTTCTAAAAATTATTTTTTTTTAAAGTATATACAATAAAATACCTGGTGCGTCTCAAAAGTGGCTCACCCATATAACTTTTTATGTTTTCAGATAAAAAGACGAAATTTGGTACCTTAGTATATGACATAAATTATGATTGACTGACGTACCTATTCAATTGTTTTCGCTCACTTCCTGTTTCACCGGAAATGACTACGACATTTGATTTTTAAATGGCACCCTCGGTATTTTCTTACTTTATTCGAGAGAAAATAACACTCTGAATAGTGATGTAAAATACCCGGGTATATATTTTTTTGGGTAAATACCGGGGTATTTACCCAAATCGGGTATATATCAGGGTAATAATGAAAAAAATCTACTACCGCGTGTAATACTTTAATACTTATGAAATATACTCGGAAATATAAGTACTTAGAAATATTTTTTTTATTTTAATTTAAATTATGAATCTGAGTCAGTGTCAAATTTGTCAGACCCAGTGTCAGTGTCTGCATAAGGAATATATCCTTCTCCATTTCAAGGTCTGAATCCGATTCGCTTGTTTGGTAATGGTTATTTTCGTCCTCATCTATATCAACATCATGCTCTGGAAGTGTTTTTCTCTTCTTGGGTGGTCGAAAAGTGGAAGATGTAGATGGAGTTGCTGCCAACGTTTGCAGATCCGAGAGGATTCTAGGCTATTTTTATTTGTTACAGGAATAGAACAAACAGGAGTGACAGGACTCACTGTTTTGTTGTCACTGTTATCAGCATTATTTCGTAACTTCCAATTATGAGATAAATACGCTATTTTAGCTGCCCTTTCGGTAGTGAGCCTATTTCGTTTATTTGAATGAATCCAGCTAAACGTACTAAAAGTTCTTTCAGTAGCTGCGGAGGTTACGGGAGCACTTAGAATTCTGATGGACACCTCAGCAATGGAGTTTGTTCCACGTAGTCTTCTCCACCAGATAAGGGTGTTGCATACTTACAGGAATAACGTTTTCTTTTTAAATACCCAGTTTCGGGTAGGTAAATAAAATTTAGGTAAATACCCGAATTTTATTTACCTACCCGCTGGGTATTTACCCGATCCATATCACTAACTCTGAATAGAATGACATATCATGTCAACTTTTGACATTTTCGAATATGGTTTATTTGAAATTGTAACATGCGGTTCATAACGACAATTTTACTCAAAATACCAAGTGTGTGGTATCAAATCATTCGTAAAAAAATGCTTTTTCCAAATATGCTAATGAGCCACCCTCGTTCCATTTGGAAAAAGGGTGTAAAATATACGGTAAAAATACGATTTGGGCATCTTTTAACCGGCCAGGACAAAACATTAAAAACATTAGACGATCAAATCTTTTTCCAAGGCTCCTTGGCTAAAAATTTGTGTTTTTAACACAACTGTTTTAACAACACTCTAGACTGACATAAAAAATACAATTTTGTTTTTCATAGTTGACATATGATATTAAAATCGGTAAAAAATACCGATGATGCTATTTAAAAATCAGAAGTTGTAGTCATTTCCGGTGAAACAGGAAGTGGCCGAATCCATCTTAATTTATGTCATATACTAGCATACCAAATCTCGTTTTTTTTATCTAAAAGAATAAAAAAGTTATTGGGGTGAGCCACTTTTGCGACGCACCCGGTATAATACCGTATACATTTTAATAAAATGTTAATTCTTTCTTCTCAGTGTTCAAAATTAGGTAATTTTGTGCATAATTTTATAGTTCTAGGTAAGATATAAGAAATTTTCATACAAATTTTCACCCCTAACATCCGAGAGTATGAATTTTCAAAAATTGCTTTTTATACTGCTCAATTACACCACATATAATTTTTTTTTACAAAATTGCATACTTCTAGACCAGATAGTTATTCCATATAAAGGAATATAGTAGTAGTTTTCATGCGAATTTTCAAAACTAATTTCACCCTCTTTGGTGAATTTATGTAAAAAATGATAAAATGTTTTTGAAGTGAATCTTCTTTACGCTCGCTGGGAGTAAACATTCAAGACCTTGACACAACACGCGACACGACAGGCAATAAAAATTGTAAGGACAGCCTACGGCTTAGAAAAGATCATTCGATTTAAATAAAATTTGGTAATTTCGATAGATTGGACCAAGGCCAACTTGACCGTGTGCGACACGTGTCACAATAATGGCAGTTTTGACGTAAGAAACGTCAAAAATTGATGTGGTCCGATCGCGACCAAATTTGGTGGGTAGGCTATTTGAATGACGCTGCACACCCTTCATATTTGGATACGACGCGACGTTTCGTTTACATTTTCATCAGGGTGGGACTAAGGATTTGATGAATGTCAAAAATCGCTTGTAAATACTTAATTACGTCACTTTTTTTGTAAAATTTCATACTTCTAGACAAAATAAGAACGAATGTTCGTACAAACATTTACCCCTAATTTCAGCCTTTTAAGAATTAAATTTAAAAAAATCACTTTTAGTGCTCTTATGAACATATTATACCCCCTTTTTTGTAAAGTATTATATTCCAGAAAATATTTTTATTTATCTTTAAAAGACCAAATTAGTTTCTTGTGAATATGTATATAATATGTTCTATTGACTGTATCTCAAAAATGGAAATATTAAGATAAACAATAATTACTAGATTTTTTGGGGTAAAATGTAATCATAAGTTTACAAATTATGCGCTAATAGTTTTATGTTTTTTTATTGCAGTTCAAAATATGTTTGTGATGTACTTAAATAATATTAAAAGTGTAAAAAAATAATTAAGCGTATTTGCAATTTTATTTAAAAAAAATCTTAAATATTTAATTACGTGTTTTTATTACCTGCTTATCAAATTTTATGTAACAATATAAGTAAGAGGTATTCAAATAAAACGTACATAAACTTTTGTTTGAAATATATATTTATATATTTATGGCTTTACTTAAAATAATAATATAAATAAAATTTAAACGCTACCAAAGTGAAACTCACAGTTCTAGGCCGTGACATAAATAACAAAATAAATCTATAAACCACGTAAAAATCAAAACTAAACAAAGATTTTTCATATACAAAGCTAAATAGTGTCGAGAAAAAAGGGAGAAAAAGTGTAAAACATATTTTTTAATCTGTACAAACTAAATAAATAATTTTAATTTTGGATAGAAAGTATAATATTATGTATGTATGTACGTACAAGATAAAGAACAAAACAAAATAAAAATAAAAAGACAAACGTGTATGTTTTTATTCAAATAATTTAGGATAATATTAATAATCATAATTAAACTGAATTAATCTGTATATTATATAGCTACCTAAATTATATGAATATATAATGTTTTTTTTATCTTTTTAATAAATAGTTATGTGTTGTGTTGGGCATAAGTTTTTCTTCTGATTTTCAGTCAATTTCAATGGCACAAATACACCTTGACATGTGCTTTACATTTTTCCGTCGATATGTAACATATACTTATATATTTTTTGGCACACTACACTGTTCCTTTAATTAACAAAAAAAAGAAATATATTCGATTAGCTCTACTTGAGTTAGGAAAAAATCAGCTGCCTTCCATTCTGATGATCTGAGTGGTGATCTTTAGTAGTTATCGATGGAAAGCAGCTGTCGAAAACATGACAAATATCAATGATATAAAGTGATATAGATGGAGGGGAGATATTTCGATTGACGCCTCATTTAATTAATGAACTTACAGCTAAAGAAAACAAACACCCACTCGACTTAAAAACGATGATGATTTGGTTTTTGGTACGTTCACAAGTCGGACTCTCCATAGAGGGCTGTGGAGAACGACATGTAATCGAGGGCTCCGGGTACGCCGTTGGGTCCCTTGTAGGGTGGCATGCGCTGGATGCAGTACTCGGCTTGGTCTGGTGGCAGTTCCCTTCTCAGTTCATCAGGAAGAATGTAAGGCTGAAAAAAGCATATTTATGAATTTCTTTGAAAGTGGTAGGCAGTTAATAGCAGTTATTATTGTTTTTAGCACGATTTTAACTCCAAAGTCGAGATTATGTCTAAAACTTCTTTAAAACCATTAATTTTAAAATTTGTTTTAAACTATACACCGTAAGTTTTCTACGATGTTTATGAGTCTTTAAATTTGAATTTTTTAACATGTCTTGAAAACCGTACTTTAACAAGAGTAAGTAACGTTCACTGGTCAACGTATCCTCGAAAATGTATGGTTCAAGAAGAGTTGAACCAATAGTCCAACACGCTTTTTTTATTTGAAAAATTCATATTTACAATCACAAAACATCCCCCTTTAGAATTTTGACTTATATGTAATGAAATAAAAATAAAAGAAGCGCCCCCTTGAGTTTGTTCGCCTACTAAATTCATGAAATATTGATCCCTATATTTAATTTTTTTTTGAATACTACAGAAACATTTTTTTAATTGTAACGAAATAAGTGTATTAAAATTACATTATATATTAAAAACAATAAAAATTTTAATTTATACCGGGTGCGCCTCAAAAGTGGCTCACCCCTATATTTTTTTAATTTTTTTCAGATAAAAAAACTAGATTTCGTATGTTAGGTTAGGTTAGGTTAAATATTCAATTGTTTTTGATCACTTCCTGTTTCACCGGAAATGACTACAAATTTTGAATTTTAAATGGCACCCTCGGTATATTTCTACTTTATTCGAAGGAAAATGACACTCTGAATAGAATGACATATTATATGTCAACTTTTGACATTTTCGGATATGGTTTATTTGACATTGTAAGATGCGGTTCATAACGACAATTTGACTCGAAATACCAAGTGTGTGGTATCAAATTATTCGTAAAAAAATACTTTTTCCAAATATGCTAACAATCCACCCTTGTTCCATTGAAAAAATGAGATGTGATTAAAAATACGATTTGATGAAAGATGTACTAGACGATCAAAACTATTTTCCCAGGCTCCTTCAATAAAAATTAGTGTTTTAGCACAGCCACTCTAGAATGAAATTTATAATACGATCTTTTTCAAGCGAAAATGTCAAAAGTTGACATATGATATGTCATTCTATTCAGAGTGACATTTTCTATCGAATAAAGTAAAAATATACAGAGGGTGTCATTTAAAATCAAAAGTTGTAGTAATTTCCGGTGAAACCGGATGTGACCAAAAACAATTGCATATCCATCAATCCTAATTTATGTCATATACGAACATACCAAATCTCGTTTTTTATCTGGAAAAAGTAAAAAAGTTATAGGGGTGATACAATTTAGTTTGGCACACTATGGTTTCCATTAAAAAAAAACATGTTAAAAGAAGCCCTGGAACTGTATTAACCCCCCTCCTAAACATTCTACATTCATTCTCTACTAGTGATGTAAAAATTCTAAGTAATCGTTACAAAGTAACAGTTACTTTACGAGGACTTGAAGTAACGCTTACCATTTGGATTTAGGACTCGTTACTCGTTACTTAGCTAATTCGTTACTTTTGCGCTGGCAGTCATCGTAATCCCTGGAAATGCACGAACCGAGGACTCGAAACTCGATACTGAAATATTCCTTACTTCGACGTAGGTCTAGTTGTTATCAATATGTTTATGTTTAAAGTGTTGACTTGACGCCGGCCGGTGTTTTGGATGGCAAATGTGTGATATTTTTTATTACAATTATTATGATTGGCTGATTGGCTCATTCATGCCGACCCGGCGCGGCGGTCTGTCCCTTTACCGTTTGTTATCGCTTTTTTATTTAGGTAATTCCGCACGTTTTTTCAATTTAGTGGCCATAATTAATATAAGATATTATTTAGGGGTAGAGTGTGTTTTATTTTTTGATTTATAGTTGCTCGGTGGGCGAAGAATAGAATTGTTTATTTAGATTAATATGTCTTAGATATTAATTAAAAATGGATTCACGTTATTCACAAAAAAATGTTAACATCTGAAAAAGCAGAGCAAATATTTTTCCTCTTCAAAAAAGAATAGACGTCTCGCCACTTTTTTCCTATACTGTAAGAAAATCCACAGAATAAAAATAGTAATTTTTAGTAAATACTGCTGCGTTAATCCAAAGGACTTTTTTGAAGAGATCAATCCGTCACAGAGGAATAGACATTTTTTAAATATTTTTTTATTTTAACAAAAATATATACATTTTTTTTTATTTTTACTTTTTTATGTTTGCATAATTATTAATGTAAAATACAAAGAGAGAGAGAAAAAATAAAAAAATACTTTATATTATACACATATTTTCTATTTTCTTTGTTTGCTTTGTTTTTTTTTTTTGTTTGAATGTTTTCTTTTATTTTTAATTTTATTAATACATAGTGATAATATATCATTATAAAAATATTATACATATTATTAAAAACATATTATTCAGTACTTGAATACCGAGTATTGAAATTATCCTATTAAGCCCTTACACTAGAAGAAAATAGAAACCTCTGATAGGTAAAACCGAGCACTCAACGAAGATCGCCGCGCACAATAAGTAACGAAGTTCCAAGTCAAGCCCAAGTCTTCCAACCTGTACAGAAAATAACGATTATAAAGTAACGATACTAAGTACCAAAGTGACGAGTAACTAAAGTAACTAAAGTAACGAGTCCAAAGTAACGAGTCCTATTACCAAAAGTAACTAGTAGTAACAAATCCATATAAGTAACTAAAGTTTTCATCACTATTCTCTACCCTTATGATTCCCGAGATCTCAGTGGTCTCCTCTGAATTGAAGAACACCCTGTACAGTGTTGAAATAATGAATATATAAGTTATAACCATTGCCTGGAAACTTATATGGTGAAATTTTTTGAATAAAATAATTTAGTACTCACTAAAAACACGGTATGTCGCTAGTGGTAGGAAAAATAATTTTTAGAGGTTATTAGTTTATTTGGTTGCCTGTGATATGCATATACAGGGTGTTTCCTAATTAATCTAAAAAATAAAAAATCGTTAGAAAATGGCTTACGGCGGGCTCTTAGTAAGTATATTTATTTTTCTCTCAGCAACCGTTTGATGAACAAGAAAAATTGAAAAGATCAATTTTGTTGAAAAAGGATGGCCAGCCAAGTAAAAAATATATTTTCTTTAAGAAAGCAGTAGTGTACCATTTATTTTAAGCAAAATATGGATTTTTTTTAATTTTTAACACCCTGTAGATCAGAAAGGAAGTATTTTAGACCTAATGGTTATATAAAAATTGTTTTAAGAACACATGAGGAATCACACCACAATTTTTTAGACTAATTAGAAGACACTCTGTATATTGTCAACTTGACAATGATTGTTGATAAATCAAAAAATACATTTTCTGTGAAAAAAGCCCGATTTTCGCAGGAAAAATTTTGGTTTTTATTGAATTTGGGCGTGCGTCTGCAAATTCCGGTATGTTTTTTAATATCCTATCTATCTAAATTTTAAATATCATAGTCAGAAATAGTTTTATTATTTATTAACTGTAAAAATGGTATAAGTTTTATCAAATATTGTGATTTACTTTCTACCTTGTAGTCAAAATTTATATTTAATAAACTGTAAAATATATATATTCTTATGTTTTATTAAAGTTACTCTGATATACTAATATATCAGTGTAACTTTAAAACTAAATCCTTTGAAATGAAATATAAACATAAAAAATATTTACAGCAGAAAAGGCGAAGGCGCTGGGTTAAACGTAGTCTCTACTAAGAACACGAAGGGGCGCTTTGACCCAAAATTTTACTATTAAGTTTCATATCTATCTTAATAGAAGATTATTTTCTTTTATCTATGGTTATAACCATGGACTTACCTTGTCAGCGGCTAGAATACGGAAACTGTCGATCACTTGTTCGGCGGTGTCTGTGTCGGTGCTTTCTCTCGTCATGAAGTCGAGGAATGCATCGAAGTGCACAAATCCAGTGTTGTTGGGGTCCACCACCGCAAGGATGCGCTGGAAGTCTATTTCGCCCTGTCTGTCTTTGCCGATGGAGTAGCCTAAAGAAACTAAGCACGATTTGAATTCCTCTGGAGCCAAACGACCTAAAACAAACACAGGATTATATTCCACTCACAATATTTTTAATCAAAACCTTTGTCAAAATTTTAAAGAGATTTTGTGAAATATTACGCAATACCCTTGAAATTTTCCGAATCAATTTGCCGTAGAAGTTTGTTCATGTCCACCTAATTTTAAAGCAAGCATTCAGAACGTCATAATTAGTGGTAATACTTTTCAATTATTGGAAAAAGTTAACAAACATTTGACTTTTCCACTAATTATACTTCAAAATTTGCGAGGAATGTCATTTTGGCCTTTGATTATCACCCGTCAAGAAAAATTTTCGTTAGAAATCAAAGGTTTATTGTTTTATAAGCTAAATATATATTATGCTTTCTCTATGGATACAACAGACTACCGCAAGCTGTTGCTAGGATATTTTATTAATTTTAATTGTGTTTTTTATCGTAATTGTTAGTACGAGAGCTAGCAACGTCGGAAAAACAAGTATTTTAAGACGTCTGGCTCTTATATCTTTTACTATGCTCTCTAGAATAGCATGCGGCCCGTCTGGCTGCTGGTAAACGTTGCGTTCCATACTGCGCATTGAAAGAAGATCCTATATTTTTATTAGTCCTTTAAATTCTAGTATTGAATATAAATCGAACATGTCTCCATAGCGCAGTGCGTAGAGTTTCAGACCACGAACCGATGATTCAGAGTTCGAATCCGTGTCGGGACAAAGACTTTTTTATTTTATTTTCGTTTATATTCTGATAGTAAAGTATTAAATATTTGTTTTTATTTAATTACCAGAATTATTTAATACTTTATTACTATATTAATTACTTTAATTACTTTTTAATTACTATATTAATTACTTTACTATTAAAATATAAACGAAAATAAAACAAAAAAGTCTTTGACCTGACCCGGATTCGAACTCTGAATCACCGGTTCGTGGTCTGAAACTCTACGCACTGCGCTATGGAGACATGTTCGATTTATATTTAATACTAGAACTTATAGGACTCGTGACCCTTGACGTTAGGAATGCATTCAATTCAGCAAACTGGAACGATGTGCTTACAGCCTTAGAAAAATCTTTTCACATACCGAAATATATTCTACGAATGATAGACGACTACCTAAGAAATCGCGTTCTCATTTACGAAACTAAAGAAGGGTACAGAAGGAAGACGATAACATCGGGGGCTGCACTAGGATCTACCCTTGGTCCGGATCTATGGAATGCGTCTTACGATGGTCTATTGAAAACAAATATGCCCAAGGAAACAATATTGGTCGGATACGTCGATGACGTCGCCGCACTTATCGCAGCTAGAGATATGGAGATGGCCCAAATCAAATTAAGGAGTGTGATGCTAACTATTAATAACTGGATGACGAACCATGGACTATCACTGGCTCTTATGAAAACAGGAATTGTGGTTCTCACAAAAAGCAGAATAAACACAGTGCTCCCATTCCACGTAGTGGGAGAGATAGTTAGATCAAAACCAGCAGTAAAATATCTTGGCATCACCATAGACAATAAAATGACCTTCTGGGAACAGATAAAAATGACCGCAGGCAAGGCCGCTAAAGGTGTCACAGCACTGAGTAGACTTATGGCCAACACGAGTGGACCCAAGTCAAGTAAACGGCGATTATTGACGTCGACTGTTCAATTCGACTGATTCTTCTATATGGCGCTGAGATTTGGGCAGTAGCTCTATCGAAGGAAAAATATAGAAAACGTTTGACCCAAGTGCAGAGACAGGCAGCACTCAGAGTAGCTTCATCATACCGCACAGTTTCCGAACCTGCAGTGCTGGTTATCGCAGGGATAGCACCTATAGCTCTACTTGCCAGAGAACGGTATGCCATATACCAAAGAAAAACCGAATTGAACCAAAAAGAAGTTAAAAAGGAGGAAATCAACAGGACTTATGAAGAATGGCAGAGATTGTGGGAACAGGAGAGTAGGGGTCGCTGGACTGCGCGACTTATTAAATCGGTGAAAACCTGGACACAAAAGGAACACGGGGAAATAAATTATTACTTGACCCAGTTTCTTAGCGGCCACGGCTATTTTTTATCGTATCTTGAAAAAATGAGAAAGGTCACATCACCAGTATGCCTTTACTGCGAAGGTTATGACGACGCAGAACATACCTTTTTTACATGCGAGAGGTGGAGCGTATACGGAAGGAATATCGAGGAAGAAATTGAAGGACAACTTCACCTCAACCCTCATAACATCGTCTAAAAAATGCATCAAAGCCCTGAAAACTGGAACCGCATATCAAGGTATGTGGAAAAGATACTAAGGGAAAAGAAAAGAGACCTGGATAACCGCTGATACCATAAACAGAAGCGAGCCCGAGAGCGATAAAAAACGGACTAGTCTCGAAGTAATGTGCTAAACGGTCCCGAATTAGAGTCCAAGACGTAAAAGGAGGTGTTTTAGTCGGTATTTATTAAGAAAAATTATCAGAATATAAAGGAAAATAAAATAATAAAGTTTTTACCCCGACCCGGTCTCGAACTTTGACTCCTCGCTTGAGAGGCGGAACCTCTACGCGCTGAGCTATGGAGACTCGGTCGGTTTATATTCAATACTAGAATTTAAAAGATTAATAAAAAATTAATAGAAATATAGTATCTTCTTTCAATGCGCAGTAGGGAACGCAACGTTTACCGGCAGCCAGACGGGCCGCATACTGTTCCAAAGAGCTAAACGATATATTAAAGAACCAGCTTTTTAAAATACTTGTTTTCCCGACGTTGCTAGCTCTCGTACTATTAGGTTAAGATGCTTGGATGTGTAACAAACCTGTTCTGTTTTTGTCAAAGTGATTGAACGACGACCTAAATTCGTTGAGCTGTTCTTGGGTGATGCCTTTCGAGTCTCTTGTCAAAATCTGGTTTTCTACTTCGTTGATGTTGCGGTTGATTGAAGTCAAGAGTTGTTCCCAGCCTACGCGTAGGGTTTCCATGGTATATTGAGTGTACCTGAATAAAAATAATATAAATTGTATGCTCTATTTATGCATATTAATAATTTAGTATCAATTCTACCAAATAGCCATGATAAAAAAACAGATTTCAAGACTAAATATCCCTTACAAATTTCGGTTTTGTTAAAACTAACCTATCGAAATCATGGATCAGTATCACCAGTGTTAAAAGTAAAGTGTTTTGACGTATTGTGGCGAATTAGTGTTTTATTTTGTTATTGTAAGACAAAGGGTTTCAACCCCCAACTATAATAAGTATCAGTACCATAATGGAACATACCTGTTTTCAAAGATCATGCTCTCTTGTACAGCCTGGTGAATCTTCTCCAATTCTTCAATATGGGGTTTGTAAGCATAGACGCCCTGTTCATATTCCTTAAGTCTGTGTAATTGATCTTCCAAAGTACCGTGCAATCCCATACCGATCGCTGTTACAGCATCCAGCTGACGTTCGATCCATGGTCCTACAGCATTAGCTTTTTCAGCGAACTGTCTTCTGAGCATTTCGTTATCTGAAAACCTGAATTAAGGAAAAAATATCTAGAAAACAATACATTTTTGAGATATCTTATTCAAAATTAAAAGGATACTCTGTTGTTTTCTGAGTTCAGCCTGTAATGTTGCGTCTCTCTGAGGTACCAGGGTCCTGACTTCGCCCCATTTTCTTGTCAAGTCCTAGAAATAAATAATCTGAGTGGATCAACGTTAAATATGGTACTTAAAATTGTTCTAGTCAACTTGTCTTTTTTACCTCTAGATTACCAGCGAATCCTTCCTTATTAGAGGCGTTAAATACAGAGAAAATAATTTTAAATTAATTTTAAAAAATAAATCTAAAAATGATTTAGGAAAGTTTCATTTGATGACGGATGAGGTTTTGAAGACAACGACAATTCGATGATGTGCGAGGTATAGTTTGACACTGATCTTACTGAATGGTACAAAAAACTCCTTACGTGAGCAGTGAGGGTGGTGTACGGGTTCTCCAGACCTCCAGGAATTTGGTGTTGTTTAACGATGGCTTCTACTTCTCTTACTAGTCCGACGATGCTCTGGTATTCCTTGTCAGCCTCTCCTAAAGTTGCCTAGAAATAAAAAAGTATACTCACACATTGTAGAATACATCTCATACATTTCTACACATTGTGATAAAGTTGACTCATCTGTAGGCTTAGTGCACTCTCGGCCGGTGCTGCCAGCATCGGAGAATTCCGTAACTACCGACTTATAAAAATACACGAGCTTAAATAGCGAGAACACGAAAATTTTGTTATACGAGTACTATGACTTAAAAGACTTAAAAATTATTAATAGGTAGTAAGTGCAATTTGACAAAATTCTAAAAGAAATAAAAAGGAAAATCTTTTGAAAACGTTTATTAAAATTTATTATTCAAGATTTAAGTTAATAAAACTTTTTAAATGAGAGTGTATATAATAACACGCCCCCAGACGCGGCTGCTTTCACTACGGTAGGAAGTATAGTTTTGCATAGTTTTACGCACCGGTATTGCTAGTTGAAATATAACTGGGGTTATCTGGACTATACAAGGCGAGTCTTAAATAAGTCAGAAACATGATTATGATGTTTTTTTCACGAACAAAAAAAAATTGAAAATTTGGAATTTAAAAAAATTGAATTTTTTTAGTTTTTAGTTAAAAAACATAATTTCTTTATAATCCGGCAACATAGGTAGTAGAATTTGGTTCTCAAGATTTAAGCAACAATCATTTTTTTTAATTTTCAAAAACGGTAAAGAGAAAATATTTTTTTTATCGAGATCTACCAGCTCTGAAAATATATGCACTTTTATATGGCATATAATTACAATTTAAAAGATGTTCATAAATGTAATTTTAGCATGGTAATGACATGGTAAATTAAGCATGGCAGTCACTTTTTTTTGTCAAATTTTGGCGTTTGGGCGCCATTTTGTAATTTAGTTTTGTTTATTCACCTATGGAAAGACGGTTACTCAGATGAAGCATTAGATAAATAGTACAAAAATAACAGTTTGTGTGTTTATGCCTTGTTTGGAATTAATTTAATATATCTTTATTAAGTTGTTTCAATATTAGGTTATTTCTATGTTAGGTTATTTCTTTAATAGTTTTTTACTTGCTGTTTCTTTTTTAACGTTTCTATATTTAATACCGTCTGATCGAAAAAAAAACGGCGTCAGCGATGGCTATGAAATGAAAATCCCTGTCATTTTATATGTAAAATTATATGGGGAATGTCATCGATGTTCATTTCCAAGCCAATCATACGGTAGTACAATGTAATCGTAAATTGTATATATATTTAGATGTAGATTTTATTGCCCTAAATAAAAGATTTTGAAGTTTTTAATTTTTTAATAACAGTTTTTTAAATATTTATCACAAAATAATTTAAATTAGAATCGCCATGTAGTATAAATTAATAATTTTAATTTTCACTTACTGTCTATCTCCGTATTAATTACTAATAATTTACATATACAGTTCGCTACTAAATGTCGTCACTAAATAACAAAATGGCGACCAAACGCCAAAATTTCAAAAGTGACTTCCATACTTAATTTAATCCGTTACCATGCAAAAAATAAAAATCAGTCATAAAAAAAATCCCTCCAAACAATTTCTGTTTCACACACTCTACGATTTATTGGTGCAGTTTGGTTTGTGCAAATTATCTAAATGTCTAAACGGCTCTTTAGTCTTTTCATTCAATGTAATCGCAACTTATTCGATGTAAAAGCTTACAGTGGCGGCTTTATTATTACATTATTTACTATTAATGTTGCCAATACATAAAAATACTGTTAATACACGGAAGTGTGTTTTAATAATCAATATTATTTTAATATTTGTGGTCTTGTATATTAAAATATTCACTATCGCTGGCGTACGCTGACTGTGCCGCTGCGTTAGAAAACAAAATAATTTTGACCGTTGGAGTGCCTTTGTTCGGCGATTTCTACATCGCCTACTATCAGAGTCGATGCACGACGTACGGCAGTCTTCTGTCTCTGTCTAACTCATCGTGCGGTAGAGACGCGACGTAAATCGGAGTTGTATCGTATTAAGGCGGGGCTTAGGCCAAATCTCCGGTCGCCTTCGCATGAAGTCGTGGAGACTCGGTAGGCTTAGAAGTTAAGGGATATTCCCGATATTTCATAAGGGGATATATCACATTTCGTTAAGGGTATATTTCATATATGATTCATTATACGTAGCATTTAAAACTTTTATATGAAAATTCAAAAAACGTTTAAAGCAAATTGGAAACAATATTCGGGTTGTCCGAGATTATTCAAAATGATATAACCGGTTGTATTTCAGAACTCGCCACAGAAATAAAAGAATCCGAAATAAAAAAGCGCGATATTTTATTCGGTGCAAGAAGACGATACAACAGATTTTACAGAAATATCTCAGTGTGCTGTTTCAATTCGACATGTCAATAAAAGCGGCTAAGTCAAATATCTTTGCGAATTTTATTTTATGAAATATTAGATAACATTGTTATACACTTAGAAATAAGGTTTGCAGATAGGTACTCGTATGTCCCAATTATTTTTATTTATCTCTTGCGGATCCGAAATTTAAAGAATCCTATACAAAATTTCCAATGCATTTAACATCTGATTTAACAAACTTGTTATATTGAAAAATTTCCAACGCATTTAATAGTGATTTAACAAACAAAAAATGTTATTGACCAACGTAAATTAATGAACGAATTGCAGGTATTAATAATAGATATGACAATTTCGATTATAAAATAATTTAAGGAGAATAATACTGGAAATATATTTCCAGAGGCTTTCAAATTGTTTCTTTTGTATGTTACTACACCATTTACAAGTACTGAGGTTGAGAGCATCATGTTAGAAATGCATTAAAATTTATAGTAGAGATTCCATGAAAAATAAACTTTTATCGCCACTTGCCTTGCTTTCAATCTAAAAAAAATATTTTCATAGCTCTTCAACAATCTGATGATTTTACTGATATAATAATAAATAACTTTTCTTTATTAAGAAACCGACTCATCAATTTAATATATATACATAATTATTCTTTCTCTCAATACTACTAATTTTTAAGTTTGCCTAAATAAATAAAAATAAAATAAAATTCTATGATGTACTCCATAGTAATAGACAAAAAACATATACTTGTACATTATGTCATTACGTTGAATGCTGTTATTTTTGCTTTAGTTTTATCCTAAATATTCTTGAACTATATTTTTAACCCAGAACTGAGTTAGGGTATTATGTAAATTAGGGGGGGGGCAAATAGACGCAACTAAAATTTTATCGCCTACTGTCACGAGCCGCCACTGAAAGCTTATATTTACGTACCTTGAAGTGAGAATGAGCGTCAATAAGGCCTTGAATTTCCTCGACAGTGTGAACGATGAAGATATCGACCAGATCCTCCCTGGTACCGTCCAACCAGTTATTGAACGGAGCAGCTCTCTTGGCGAACTCCAAGTGCAAAATGTCGATTTTCTCCATGATGCGTTCTGCGTCGTCGAGGGCCTGTCTGCGACGCTGCGTCAAAGCGCCAAGACGGTCCCATTGGTCGCAAATGCGTTGACAACGAGCGTTGACGCTAACACTGTCATGGTAATCTAAGGTGCTAGAACACAAAACACTTTTACTCAAAAATCTAAATAAGTAATAAGAAATATTTTGTTCAGTAAGTGACAAATCCTTAAAGATTGCTGAGCCAGTTACAAAGGTATACAGGGTGTCCCAGGCTGAGCGTACATTAGAAGTTTCTAGAAAACTACAATATCTAGATCGGAGATTTTTTGTACATCATTGTTTCACAACGAAATCTATTATATTAAAAATATTTTCAATATGGCGGTACTTCCGGAAATACTGGAAGTTGACAGCAACTTTCTTATTTAAAATGGGTGCCCCCATTTTTTATTACTTACTTAAATCCTCTGTAAAATTTTATGAATTTTATTATTAAACACTCTACAGATTGTTAACTGGACGGTTACTTATTGGGGAACAGAATGGCAACACAAGCTGCCGACTCGTCCCGTCGCGTCGTCTCTCAACGAACGGGCCGAGGTTGTCATATTTCAACCTTAAAGCTCTTGCCGCGAGTAATAAACAAATTAACAACCTGTATACCTAACATTAACCGTTTTTGAGAAAAAAAATATTTAAAATTTTTGGACGAAAAAAACTGCCTCTCAAAAATATGTATAGCCTAAACGTCACATTTAGTGATTACCACAGCCACTGTGTCGTAAAGAGAAGACATATGGCTATCTATTTCAAAAATTAAATTGTTTGAATGTCCGTATAATAATGGACATAATATTTTGAAAAAAATTACCATAAATATTTTTTTTTTCAAATGGAAACCCACTTTTTTTTATTTCACTAGTGAAAAGGCTTTTCAATTCGTTACTTTTTTACTATACATGTTCCTATACCTAAAATAAATTGTTTTTTGAGTTATTTAAGGTTTAGTTTTAAAGCGTATATTTTTCTTGATTTTAACAGATTTTAACCAGTAGCCTATGCATTTAAACGTCAAGTGATGTAAAACAATAGATATGGCCATGTCATATGTCATACACTTGTCACACCATGTCATACACTTTGTTCAAAAAGCAGTATGATATCGATATATCAATCATCATTTTCAAACCAACTTTGCGCTGTTTATTTTCGATCACACGGTATATATTATTAATAATATCAACTATTAGATATTACTAAATAGCGAAAATACGAGATATATTTTTATAAATACACTTTTTAAACTCTTAAGGCAGTATTTATAATATAGGAAATTCAAATAATTCAGTTTGTGACAGATGGAAATCACATGGAAATAAATGTCTGACTGTTTGACACTTATGTCAAAGGAAGCTAGATAAAATCAAGAAAAATATACGTTTTCAAACTAAATCTTAAATTACTTAAAAACGATTTATTTTAGGTATAGAATGTATATAGAATGTGTATATGTATACTCGAAAAGTAACGAATTGGAAAACCTTCTCAGTAGTGAAATAAAAAAGTGGGTTTTATTTATGATAATTTTTTAATCATTCAATTCCAAGACAACTACCACCATTATTATATGACATATTTTTGAAATAGATAGCCAAATGTCTTGTCTTTATGTCACATTGGCTGTGGTAATCACTAAGTTTGACTTTTAGGCTGTACAATTTTTTTGACAGGTAGTTTTTTCGTCAAAAAATTTTAAATATATTTTTTCTCAAAAACGGTTAATGTTAGGTATAGAGTATTTAACATCAATATTCATAGAATTTTACAGAGACTGTCAACTTTCGGTTTTTCCGCCAGTTTTTCAAGTGCCGCCATATTGAAAATATTTTAAAGACGTTTAAATGCAAAAAATCTCCGATCTAGGTATTGTAGTTCTCCAGAAACTTCTAATGCACGCTCAGCCTGGAACACCCTGTATATAAACTACACAAATACATACTTGAGCTCTTGAGCAATGGCGGCAATTTGTTCTACTCTGTCCTGATGAGCAGCCAAGTCGCTTTCAAACGCCTCGTGTTTCTTCTTCAAAGCTTTCAGCTCGTTCAGCCTGCAGTTACGGAAGTCCTGGCTCTGGAGCATCTCTTCCTTGCCGCGGGTCCATTCTTCGTGGGCATCGGCCTTACGTCTGAACTTCTCTGCCAAGTGCTCCAGCCGTTCCAGACGCATCATTTCCGATAACAGCCACTCTTCAAACGCTTTCTCGGCACCTTCCAGACCTTTCCAAGCATTGGCGATGTCCTGAAACGGATGAATAGTGAATTTACAATGAAACTATACTAGTACGTCATAGCCATCTCATAAAGTCTGTCTATATGTACCGGGTAGCCAAAAAAATTCTAATCAGTAAATCGACCAAGGGAAATCGATGGAAATTATTTTTAAGGTCGAAAAATGTCCGCTAGGGGGCGCTTCTCTGATAGCCAATCAGAAAACAGGATTTTTCTCAAAAATATACAGGAGAAGAGGTATTTTAAATGTTGCTATTGTAATCATCGAGAAATTTGTAATATTTTGCTCTTTCTCTCATAAAATAAAGTGGTGGAGGGAGGTTAAACTTGCTTTTATTAAAATAAGGGTAACTCTGGTTTAGGTTAGCCGATTTAAACAAACTAGGTCTCGTTCAAAAGAGTTTTTCTTCCTTAATGTGATCTACAGTATAAATTTTTTTGTTTCCCTAGATTCTTTCGTGGTAGCTAGAGGGCCTTATTTGACATAAGAGATATTACGCTTCTGCATAAAATAATTAAATAGCAGGTTATGTTTATTTTTGCACAGTTAAATAGGGCACAAAATTTCCAAAATATCAGCGCAAACCGCAACATCTTCTCTCTAACCGGAGATATTAAAAGAACAAATTATTTTAGGCTGCCGCTTAGGATTATATGGTCTAAAAATTATAGTAGTAGACTAGGAAACAAAAAGAGGTAAATTGGTTACGTCAAAATATCAAAATGTAGTTTTCATGCATCCGAATTTCGGGCGTTTTCTTAATTTTATCGTCCATCCCTACAATTTTTACGAATTTCTTGGTTAATTATACGTAGGTAGTTCTCAGATAAAAATGTCCGAAAGTCGGACAATCAATAATTTTGTAAAAATTTCTAGGAATTTTGTGCCACCATACTGCTTTTAACAGAAAACCGCCGAATTTTTACGTCAATTTATATATTAAACGTCATTTATATATTAATCCAAGTTCATCCTTGACTTCACTTGTTTTCTTGTTTTACCTGTTGCTTATGCTATTTATTATTATATTATAAAGTTTATGTCGTTTGGTCGTCATTTTTCATATAGCACCGAAAGTGCGAACCTTAATAATATGCACTACTGGTCCAAATCTACCCTTGATGCAAGTAGTTAAGCACCAAGCCCGTTGGTCGGTAAATTTTTAGACAGACATTCTAGGATGGCGAATAGGACTTTTTTAATTATCTGAATGAAATGAACTATCCATAATTTCTAAGAGATGAATTGCCAATGTTGTTAGGGAATCTATCATGATGAAATTACATTTGTTGCAATTTCATCAGTATGATGGTGCAATTGGTGCAGTTGTGCCGCTTATTTTGCTATGAATGTGTGGGGCTTCTTAGATACCACTTACTTTAGTAGATACAGACGCTGGAGCGGCATATTTCCATGGCCAGCTAGGTCATCGGATTCAATATGCCTGGGTTTTTATTTATGGGGTCGAATCAAGAACGACCATGGATAAATAACCATTAAATGGCATTAATATGAAATTAAAATATATGTTTTGATATTTTGACGTAACCAATTCATCTCTTTTTGTTTCCTAGCCTACTGCCTACTGCTCTTTAGACCTTGTAATCCTAGGCGACAGCTTAATATAATTTATTTTCTTAATATCTCCTGTTAGACAGAAAATAGAAAGTTGCGGTTTGGCGCTAACATTTTGGTTGTTGATTATTTGACTGTGCAAAGAGAAAAATGTAGCCTCCTATTTAATTTTTTTATACAAAAGCCCAATATCTGTTATGATGTCAAACAGCGGCCTCTAGCTACCATGAAGAAATCTATGGAAACAAAATTTATACTGTAGATCACTAAGGAAGGAAAGCTCTTTTCAACAAGTTTTTGTTTGTTTAAATCGGCTAACCCAAAATCAGAGTTATCCTTATTTTAATAAAATGAAATTTAACCTTTCCCCACCACTTTATTTTATGAGATAGAGCAAAATGCGCTATATCTAAAAAATACAAATTTCTCGATAATTACAGTAGTAATATTTATAATACCTCTTCACCTGCATATTTTTGAGAAAAATCCTGTTTTCTATTGGCCATCACAGATACGCCCCCTAGCGGACCATTTTTGGAACTTGAAAATAATTTCCAGCGATTTCTCTTGGTCGATTTAATTATTAGAATTTTTTTCCCAAAGTTATACGATAAGTAGTTTCTGAAATACAGCCGGCGCGGCGGCGGCGTCCATTCTTGGTTGGCCACCCGGTACAATTAAGGTTGATTCTCACTATACATTCCATATTCGTTCCGTATTTTAATTGTATTGACGCTATATGTAAGCTTCCGTTCCGTATCAGTTCCATACTTTTTATTGTACCGGGTGTCCCACTAAGAATAGCTCTCGGCTGTATCTCGGAAAGTATTATGGTGGGTTCATACAGCCAAATAAAATAAAATAAGAATAAAATAAAATAAAATAAGAAAGTTGGTTATATGGGATACCGTACATGCGTTCATACAGCCAAATAAAATAACAAATAAAATAAGAAGTCTTTATCTTTTAACTTCTTGTTTTATTTTATGTGTTATTTTATTTTAAACGGCTTTGCGGACGCTTAATTCTAACCTACAAATATTTTCAGTTTGGATTTAATTTATTTTATAATTTCACATAAGTAAAATATATAATATAGTAGGCAACGAACAAATAAATATACTATAAATAGTAAAATTACTATAAACAATCGTAAAAGTTAACTTTTATCCAGCCTCATCGTACTGCGCATGAGCAAATATATATTTCTTATTTTATTTTATTTGACTGTATGAACGCACACAAATAAGAATTCCTTATTTCTTATTTTATTTTATTCTTATTTTATTTTATTTGGCTGTATGAACCCACCATTAGTCGTAGAGCTTGCGGAAAAAAAATTATGACTAAAGAGGGCATGAGAAATTGCTGGAAATTATTTTCAAGTTTGTAGAGCGGCTGCTAGAGGGCGCAACTGCTATTGACGCAACTACTATTAAAAATAAGAAAAAGGAGTTTTTACACAATTTTGCTTAGATAACCGATACTATAAATAATAGATTCATAATATTCAGTAAATTTTGCATACTTTTTGTTAGAACCATTTTCCCCTATCTGCCAAAATAAAGTGGTGGAGAAAGGTTAGATCTGTTTATATTTAAATGCTAGTAACTCCGGACTGGTTGATCGGAATCCAATAAGTGGGGGCTCGTTTAAAAGAGCGTTTCTTACTCTATATTATACCATATAAACAATAAAAATAAATTTTTGAGCGTAGACGCTAGGGGGCGCTGTCTTACTATTTAACAAACATTACGCGTTTTTTCGAAAAAGTTAAATGCGATAGTATATGTAATTTTAGCTGATACTAAAGAGTAATAAAAGTTTAAAAATTCAGCGAAAACCGCATCTTGATATCTTTTTTCAAACCAAAGTTATTAGCAAAATTATAATAAATACGAAAAAATAAGCCCTTAACTACCTTATCTTTCTAACACGGTATCCCTAGCTCTCTTGATTATGACCATTCTGATAAAAAATAAGATAGAAAAGATTATTTCATTTAAACAATCGACAATGTACCACAATACCATAATACTAGATGTATCAATATCTAATAATTAAGATATCAATGAGAGTGAATAAGAAATGACGCCTCAGTAAATTCATGGTAGGCTTTGGAAAAAAGTTGCTTTTAAAGAGATAGTTTAAACTCAAAATATTATTATATAAACAATTTGATAGTCTCAACAGCGTTTTTTATCTTTTGATTGCTTTTCTAAAAATGCCTTTCTTCAAAAGAGAAAAAACGCTGCTAAGACTATCAAAATGTTGATTTAATAACTCTTTGACGTTTATATTATTACGTCAAAAGCATCTTTTTTCCAAAACCTACCATGACTTCACTGAGGCGTCGTTTCTTATTCACTGTCATTGATATCTTAATTGTTAGATATTAATACATCTGGTATTATCGTATTCTGGTATATTATCGATTTTAGAATAAACTAATCGTTTATATCTTATTTTTTTTAAAGTGGTCACAATCAAGAGGGCTACTGTAACCGTCTTAAAAAAATAAGGTAATTAAGGGCTTATTTTTTGGTATTTATTATAATTTTGCTAATATCTTCGGTTTGAAAGAGGATAACAAGATGCGGTTTTTGCTGACTTTTTAAACTTTTATTACTCTTTACTATCAGCTAAAATTATATATACTATCGCATTTAATTTTTTTGAAAAAGCGCGCAATGTTTGCGTCTACATTTAACAAGCTTATTATTATTAATTATAAAGAAACGCTTTTTTAAACGAGCCCCCGTTTGTTAGATTCCGTTCATCCAGTCCGGAGTTATTAATGTTTAAATAAAAACAGATCTAACCTACCCCCACCACTTTATTTAGGCAGATAGGGGAAAATAGTTCTAACAAAAAATATGCAAAATTTACTAAAGATTATGAATCTATTATTTATAGTTCCGTTGTCTAGACAAAATTGTGTAAAAACTCCTTTTTCTTATTTTTAATAGTAGTTGCACCCTCTAGCGGCCGCTCTACAAACTTGAAAATAATTTCCAGCAATTTCTCATGCTCTCATTAGTTATAAATATTTTTTTCCGCAAGCTCTACGACTAATACTTTCCGAGATACAGCCGAGAGCTATTCTTAGTGGGATACCCTGTACAATTTATATCATTACGAAAGTTTTATTTTAAAAATTTGTATCTTTTGAAAAAGGTAATAGCACGTAATAAACTTAATTAAGAGGTGAAAGAATAAATAAATATCAGCAAAATGTTAACAGAACTGGTACAAATGTAAGAACTTGACAACGCTGTTTCCGATACGCTTCAGTCCGTCCATCAAAAAAATGTATGGAAGGAAAGGATATGGAACGGAAGGGAAACGGAACGGAGCTGATATGGAAGGTATAGTAAGAATCAACCTTTAGAGTGATTATTTACTTACAGAAACCATTTTGCCTTCAGTAGGCATGTAGGCTGGTCTGTTGGAAAGACGCAGTTTGGTCTGAAGCGTGTTGAAGTTGGTCTCCAGTTTGGCCTTCTGTTCCACGCGCGGAGGCTTGTGTTTGCGGCGATACGTCCTGTACTCCTCCAGTTTCTTCTGTACTCCCGCCAAGGAATTGTCGGATTGCCTAGAGTTCAGCCAGGGCATCGTGCGTCGGATCCATTCCAGAAGCTGCAAATTTAAAGTATTATTAACACAAACGTGTATATTATAATGAAACTTGTATACGTACGTCACTGGCGAGGCGTTCGTATTCTTCCATGAGACGTTCATTTTCTTGGTTGACTTTGAGGACCTTGCAGATTCTGTTAGCAGCTGTCTCGGCCTGTAAATGCACTATAATAAGTATAGTTAAATGTAGTGAAGTGTGGTGTGATTAGTAAAAAATAAACGACGAAAATTATTATTTTATTAGAAAAAAGCTAAAGAAAAATACTTTGTGGTTGGTTCATCGATCTTTTCAGCTGCTTTTGTTGAATATACAGTGTGTCAATTTTAAAACTTCCCACCCTTAATATCTTTCTTGCAGTTAGTATGAAAAATCGGAAAGACACGTCAATTTTATTTGTAAGGAGGACACTTTAAATTAATATTTTTAGCCTTTTTCTTTTAACCGCCTAGGAAGGGGAGATATCACCCTTACAATCTTAAATGGGAATGGGGGTCAAGTGGCACATCGTTTTAAAGGGCGTTTAATTATCTTTTCAGTGGTATCCTACTTTGTTGCTTTTTGTCGAGTGGTTTCCGAATAATCACGTTTCAAAGTTGCAGAAACAATTAAACATGCATGCATTGAGATTTTGATTTCCAGTCTAGTCTTTACACAAAAATTATTGCAATGGATCTCCTTATAGTACAAAAGATTAGAAGATCACATTACACCACTTACGCCCTATCGTATAAGTTGATCAGAATGTTGTCCATTTTCCTGTTAACAATAATAAAGTGTGTTTTCAAACTCCTTCCTAACATTTCGGAAAACTTCACCGGGAATTGACCGGCATTCTGTTGTAATTCGCCTTTTAAGATCATCAATATCAGTAGGTTGTGTTCTATAAACAATGGATTTAAGATGTCCCCAAAGAAAGAAATCTAAGGGTATTAATCCGGTGATCTTGGAAGCCATTCAATTGGTCCCCTTCTGCCAGCCCATGTACCCGGAAATCTCTCGTTTAACCACTGTCGGATCGGAAGGAAATAATGAGGTGGAGCCACCGTCCTGCTGGAATGTTAACAAATCCTCCTGTATAACTGATTAGAGGTTGCCACTCATTCGAATTTAAGAAAATAAACGTTAATGTTTATTACGTTTTCTGTTTATTAGTATTTCGACCCCTCTAGAAAAATATAATTGCTACGTCCATGTTTCCACCTAATCTTCTAATTATTTGTACTACAAGGAGACCCATTGCAATATTTTCTGTAAGCACTAGCCTGAAAACCATAATCTCAATGCGGGCATGTTTAATTGTTTCTGCAAGTTTCAAACGCGATTATTCGGAAACCTCTGAAAAAAACGCAACAAAGTAGGATACCACTGAAAAGAGAATTAAACGTCCTTTAAAACGATGTGCCACTTGACCCCCTTTCCCATTTAAAATTGTAAGGGTGACATCTACCTCTCCTAGGGGGTTAAAAGAAAAAGGCTAAAAATATTAATTTAAAGTGTCCCCCTTACAAATAAAATTGACGTGTCTTTCCATATTTTTAACTGCAAGAAATATATTAATGCCCACTTGCACCGTTTGTATAAACTTTGTTTAAAGACTAAACAGTGATTAACTATATATTATTTCATTATAGTTAATCACTTGCCTTTAAACAATGTTTATACAAACGGTGCAAGTGGGTATAAAGGTGGGAAGTTTTAAAATTGACACACTGTATATTACAAGTTATTCATAAGTAATAAGACAGGCATAAATAATGGTAATCAATAATATAAATAGTCGATAGTATACCGGGTGCGTCTCAAAAGTGGCTCACCCCTATAACTTTTTTAATCTTTTCAGATAAAAAAATCGAGATTTGGTATGTTATGATATAAATTTGAATTTATTGTAATATTGACGTATTCAATTGTTTTAGATTTTTAAATGACACCCTCGGTATTTTTTTTACACTATTTGATAGAAAATGGCACTCTGAAAAAAATGACATATCATATGTCATGCCACAGCCGTGTTATAAACACTCATTCTTAATCAAGGAGCCTTGGAAAATAGATTTGATCGTCTAATGTTCCTTCGTGTCTTGTCCTGACCGGTAAAAAGATGCCTAAGAAAGTATTTTTAAACATATCTCATTTTTTTGAAATGGAACGAGGGTGGCTCATTATCATATTTGGAAAAAGTATTTATTTACTAATAATTTGGTACCACACACTTGGTCAATTATCAGTCAAATCATCGTTATGAACCGCATGTTACAATGTCAAATAAATGTCAAGAAAGTATCAAAATTTGACATATGACTTATCATTCTATTCTATCTAAATACCGAGGGTGCTATTTAAAAATCAGAAGTTGTAGTCATTTCTGGTGAAACAGGAAGTGATCAAGAACTATTGAATACGTCAATCAATCCTAATTTATGTCATATACCAAATCTCGTTTTTTTCTATGAAAAAATAAAAAAGTTATAGGAGGTGAGCCACTTTTGAGAAGCACCCGGTATAGCTGTTTAGCATTTTACTTGTAATCAGGTACTTTGATTTACTATTTCGTTTACTATTGTATATGAAAAAATGTATTTTATTAACAATTCAGATTTATTTTTACCAAATCTCATACAGAGTGGGAATCAGGAATATATTTTAGACTAGAAATTAAATTATTTTTTTTTAATTTTAATTTAATTTTCCTTGAGAGTTGTATATTGAATTTTAATTCAGCTTAAATTTTAGAACTCAATAATTTGTCTACTACCGTAGAGTCGTAGATGTAAGACAATAAAATGATGTATAAAGAGTATATTTATGTAATAGTATATTAGTATATTTATAATGTATGAGTAAAGCGAAGACACTGCAAAGAAAGATGAACCACCGTACTACTACTTGAACTAAATAATCAGTAATAGAATGTATTTTTCACCTTTTGAGCGCCAGAAAAACAGTGGTAGTAAGACGAGACGTACGTCATAACTGCTCGTTCGTCAGGCATTGCTGTGTTCTGTAAGTCTACATGCAAACGGCATTATTAATAATATTGCACAACATGCAAGAAAAAAGTACAATCTGTTAATATTATATAGTGTCTTTGGAAAGTCTGCACAAAATTATTCACAAATTTTGTATCGACATTTCGGGGACACTATGACAATGTTGTAAATACGAAACAAGGGCCAGGCTTATTAAAATGTCAGAATAACATCGTTACATACATCATTTACTATTCCAATAGCAGGCTAACTTAATGTACCTTAGATTACTACCTTAGATTAAATATTAAATAAAGCATGTTTAGTATAAGATGTCCACCAGATATACCCTATGATCGAAAAAAACGGCGTCCAGTTGGCTGGGAAATGACGATCGGCGCCATTTCCTATATAAATTTACATATAAAATGACAGCGATCTTCGTTTTATAGACATCGCTGGTGCCCATTTTTTTTTCGATCATATGGTACATACAGGGTGGCCCATCGAAAACGTTCCGCAAGGCATAACGGCCAGAGTATTTTTTTTTTTTTCAAAAAATCCAAAAACACGTCAATTTTGTTTGTGAGGGGGACAACTTTTGCCCCAAAAATGATTGCAAAATCTTCAACCCTCTAAGCGGGGGTGTCATCCCCCAACTTTTTTCAAATGGGAATGGGGGTCAAGTGGCGCCGCAATGAAAAGAGCTTTCTATTCTCTATATTTCCCCGCTTCGTTTTTGAAAATCGGTCGAGTCATTGAGAAACTATGAAGGATTGAAATTTGAAAAGTTTATTTAAACATTTATCAGAGTAAATGATAAGGATAAGTTCCTTCGACCAATTTGCTGTTTTTTCTTATTATTTCTAGATGTTTACGCATTTTTTCACTTGCCACAAGGTTGAACAATCAGGTGCGGTAGTTGCTAGATAGCTGTTCTGTGACTTGTGCGTTGAAGTTCTTCTCAATATCGTTAAACTGACCTACAATAGGATTTCCAAAAATACCAGCCCACACGTTCAATTTCTGAGCGTTTTGTATGTGCATCTCGTGAAAAACCCTAGTTGTCCTCAGCCCAGTACCGACAGTTGTGCCGATTAACTACACCGTTCAAAAAAGAAACTCATCCGAAAAACACACATTAAATAGGAAATTATTATCATTCGCCACTCGTTCACTCATAGTTTCACAAAATTGCAAGCGACGGTCAAAATCGTCTTCGTTAAGTTCTTGTACCAACTGAATTTTGTACGGATGGAACTTTTTTTTTAATATCCTTTGGACACTTGTACGATTCACGCCGGTCTCATTGGCTAATTTGCTTGTACTCAGCGTACTATCCATGGCAACTTGGGCCAATAAGAATAACTCCATAGGTTCATTTACTACAGGATTTTCCCTTTTGCTTCTTTTTATTCATAACGGAACCAGTTTCGCGAAATTTTGCTACTAACTCGCGAACAATTTTTGCCATAAAGGTGTTTGTCAGGATAGCGTTTAAAGGTGTTTGTCAGGATAGCGTTTATTGAATATGTGCGCAAACCAATACATTCATTATTTTTAAAATAAAAGTTCGATCATTTCCACTTTTTCTGCAAGTGAGTACACCATAATTATTAAAAAGTTTAACGATATTGAGAAGAATTTCAACGCACAAGTCACAGAACAGCTATCTAGCAAACTACCGCACGTGATCGTTCAACCTTGTGGCAAGTGAAAAAACAGCAAATTTGTCGAAGGAACTTTTCCTTCGACATTCCATTTTCTGGTAAATTAAAAAATAAAAAAAACTTTTCAAATTTCAATCCTTCATATTTTCTCAATGACTCGACCGATTTTCAAAAACGAAACGGGGAATATAGAGAATAGAAAGCTCTTTTCATTGCGGCGCCACTTGACCCCCCTTCCCATCTGAAAAAAGTTGGGTGATGGCCCCCCCGCTTAGAGGGTTGAAGATTTTGCAATCATTTTTGGGGCAAAAGTTGTCCTCCTCACAAACAAAATTGCCGTGTTTTTGAATTTTCTGAAAAAAAAATTACCCTGGCCGTTATGTCTTGCGGAACGTTTTCGATGGGCCACCCCGTATAGTCCAGTAAATAACGACACGAAAAGACACTTTTCAGGCGGATTGTGTACTTTTTTGAGGAGTAGTTTTAGGGGGAAAATTGTCAGTTTTTCGCAAATATCTACCAAAATATGCAATTCACAATTTTTTTCTTGGAATGAAGCTCTACAAAAAAGGTCCCGATACTTATTTTCGTAAAGTGCCGGGAAAATGCTTAAAAACGGCTCTAAAGGGTCAAAGAACGGGTTTTCCGCCAATATTGACCGAAATATGTAGATGATTTTCATGATCCAATGGAAGATTGGGTCCTTTGAATCATCAAAAAATATTAATTATTATAGTTGAGGGTTGGTTTAGGTATGTGGATGATATTTTTGCTGTTTTTGATACACATTCAGACACCATAGATAATTTTATTTCTAAGTTAAATAATCGTTTTCCATCCATTAAATTTACGCATGAAATTGAGAACAACGACAGATTACCATTTCTAGATGTATGAGTTATTAGAAATATTAATAATTGCCTGGAATTTAATATCTATAGGAAAAATACGACCACACGCAGATATATTCCTAATGAATCACATCATAGTGTTGAACATAAAATGGCTAGTTTAAATTTCCTAGTTCATAGATAACTTAGTTTCCCACTTTCCAAAGAAAGATATGAAATAGAAAGAGATTACATTAGGAATGTAGCTGAGTGTAATGGATATTCTCCTTCACTAGTTGATAAATTAATTAGAAAACGTAGGTATAGGTTAATGATTTCTGAAAATTCGACTTTTCAAGTGGAGAAAGACACGTCTAAATATTTTTCGATGCCGTTTGATAGAGAGTTATCCCGTGGTCTAAAAGGAATTTTGAAGAATGTAAATTATAAACTTGTGTATAGTGCTAATAATAAATTACAACAATTATTAGGTAATCCAAAGGATAAAACACCTCCACTGGAAAGGTCGGGTATTTATGAAATTTCTTGTAAAGATTGTAATCAGAAATATGTTGGGCAAACTAGAAAATCAATATTAACTAGATTTAAAGAACATTTAGCTCAGATAAGATATGGTAAACCGGATAAATCTTGCGTTGCCGAACATATTGTTCATAAAGAACATTGTATAGATCTTAATAATTTAAAATTAATTAAACAAGTCTCAAATTACAGGCAATTAGATGCATATGAAAGCATCAGAATTAATAAATGTAAAGATAGTATGAACAGAGACAACGGTCCAATTCCTTCAAGTTCTTTGTTCCTACTACTCTAGTGGCGGAAATCTAACTGTTACGCTCAGTTGGCTCTGACTCGGTTGGCTAGATTTTGCCACGCCCACTCGGGGCCCACTGAGCGAGTATATAAACGCTCACCTTGTAGATTGTACTTTAGTTTATAATCATCTGCTGATGATGCTAACATGGGTCAAAGAACGGGTTTTCCGCCAATATTGACCGAAATATGTAGATGATTTTCATGATCCAATGGAAGATTGGGTCCTTTGAATCATCAAAAAATATTAAATTTTAGACGAGTTATTAAAAATCAATCAATGATACGCTTATGAAATATATCTTTGGAGCGTTATAGACGGAGAGCTGGCTACATAAAAAAACCTTATCATCGTTACATGGCTAATTTTTCTTGTGAAGTATCCTTTTTTGTAGCCATTATGAAAGTCATGTCTGGCAGCGCGATCCCGGTGCTTAAAGCGGGGGCGGCCAACCAAAAGGGTGAAATTTTGACACTAAAAATATTATAAGGTACACTAGTTATAATTGCCAAATAGCTTTTATTTATTATTAAGGAACGTGGAAAATTGTTGGCAGACATTTTTCTCGTGGCTAAAATGCCGGCAGACAACGGCAAAGAGGCATGAAATTTTGACAAAAAAAATATTTAAAAAATTTATTTATATAAAAACCCCTATGCAAAAGGCAGACAAAAAATCGTGGCTCAATCTTCGGTAGACAGTTATCAAAAGCGCGATATTACTCTACAGGGTGAGTCTTGAATAAGTGCAAATATTTCAGAGCTGGTAGATCTCGATAAAAGAAACATGTTTTCTCTTTACCGTTTTCCAAACAAGTCCAAAATAATCGAGTTATTTAAGTTTGGAAAAAGTGCACGATTTTCAACATCTTATTTCGCGGAAAAAACCTCATATCATGGAGTCGAAATATATCACCCCTAAAAGTATTTGCACTTATTTATGACTCACCCTGTATAAGCGTTTTCTGGAAACGCTCGCCGCGTTATCAATTGAAACATGATACATGAAGTCTACAAAAATTTTACGGTGCAGATATCGACTCAGAGGAAGACTCGTTTGCGAGAGCGAGGATCTGTAGTACGACGAGTCAGATACAAATGGTGAGACAGAATAGTAAATGTATGATATCTGTTATTGAAATGATAAAAAAATATATTTATAATATAATCGTATACATGATTTATCTATACTGATTTATTGATTTATCTGTCTGCCCTTTTGTATACGGCTTTTAAAACAAATAAATAACATTCCACCAATCGGCATGCATGTAGGCCATAATTTTTTTTTTTCGAAATTTTATGTCTCTTTCGCGTTATCTGCCGGCATTTTAGTGACGAGAAAAATGTCTGCCAATAATTTTCCACATTTCTTAATAATAAGTAAAAGCTGTTTTTGCAATTATAACTCGTGTACCTTATAATATTTATAGTGTAAAAATTTCACCCTTGCTTTAAGATTCGGGATCGCGCTGGCAGGTATGACTATTTTATAATGGCTACACAAAAGGATACTTCACAAGAAAAATTAGCCATGATAACGTTTTTTATGTAGCCAGTTCTTAGACTATTAAGACATGAAGAGAAAATTGCGGGATCTTCGAAGCGGAATATCTCGACAACTCCCAATTCTACGTAAAAAATGATTAGGATAATTTTTGTAGGTAATTACCTAAGCTTCATTTTTTAATTCAAGACAAATTTTGTAAATTGCATATTTTGGCTGTATTTTCTCGACCAAAGCCGACCAAGCACGGTGTTACAATTTTTTTCCCTAAAACCTGATTTTATGATGTAAACAAAACTTCAAATGCTACTGAGATAGCTTTATGTATCTTTTAGTAGGTATACTTAATCTAAGTTTTAATACTAATAGTTTCCTTAGTACGATATTTTAGCCTGCTAAGTGTCTATATCGTCTTAGAAAGTAATAAATGTTTATTTAGTTTTGAATTTTACTTTTAATAGTATATTACATGCTATTAAAAATAAAGAAAAAAGTCTAAAATAATTTTTAATTAGTGCTTAATATTGAAAAAATAACAAATAATCAGACAAATATTTTTCATCCTTCAAAGTGTCATTTTCTATATAGATATTTGCTCTTGCAAATCAAAAGAGTGAAAATTGCAAGAGTTGTAGCAAGACTAAAATCAAGATTGGACCCTGGAATACCAACATCAAGACCATAGGAGTCTTGGTACTGGTTTTGATTTGCATATCACTAATTTTAAAAGTTAATACAACAAATTTAAATATATCTATTAGTTGGCACTGCCAAGATTATCAAGTTGTTTTTACGCCAACTGACACATCTTGATGCATGTTTTTTGGCCATTTATGTCACAAATTATTTCTTGCAAAAAATTAAAACGTTTAATTCGCATAGCTGTTAAGTTTTTCAGTATTCAATAACGAAGTGAAAAAAATATGTAAAGCCACAAAAATATCACACACGAATGAGCCACGTTTGACAATTTCAAAAAACAAGAAACAACAACGTAAAACGGTCATACAATAAAAATGGTTAGGGCTTTGATTTGAGCGTCATTTCACTTCAAAAATATACCTGTTGAGCGCCCTGGAAGGCATGATAGTAACATGACACGTATGTCATGATGGCACGCTCATCGGGTTTTGGTGTATTAATCAAATCTGAAAAAAGCAAATGCATGCAAAGAAAATAAAAATAAAACAAATGTGTAACGAATAATATATTTTTATGCTTTATTGATGCTACATAAAAAAACTAAAATCACATTTTGTTTATGGTGTTCTATACTTAAATTTAACTGTTTCTGGAATGTTTTGACAAACCTAATTTCGGAAATAAATGCGGAAAGTATCTGTCGAGCAGAAATAAATTAAATTTCGACAGACTTCAGCCAAAAATTGACTAAAAAATACAATTTAACTTTGAGACTTGATTTAACTTAATAGACAACAAGTGTTACTGTCAAAATAACGGCATAAAGTTTACTTGGAAATGATCGATGACATTCTCCATATAATTTTACATATAAAATGACACCGATCTTCTATTCCTAGCCAACTCCGACGCTGTGTTTTTAACGAACTGTACAGGGTGGTCGAAATTGGTCTGTTTTAACAGGGAAAACCTATTTCCTGACTAGATAGAGCAAAACCGACGTAGATGTCACGGGCTCGATTTCTGAGACACGCTTAATGGTATAAACCGCCTGTTGATATTTTCACTGCCAACTGAGATACGGGGTCTTTTTGATTTTTTTACCATTTTGAAAATTGGCCATAACTTTTTTAATTTGCGGAATAATAAAATTCTGTAAAGATGTTCTTAAAGCACTTTTTTAAGCACAATCCAGTGGCGTAGTCAGTTTTTTTCTATAGTTGCTCTTTTTATCAGAAATAATAAAAAATATAATTATTTAAATGAAAATCATAGTTTGTGCTTAACTTAAAAATCATAGTTAACTTAAAAAATGCTGATGTTTAACCCTTTGTAACGATATAAAGTTATGGGTATTTATTTCTAACAATGAGAGAAATATTAGGGTTTTTATCTTTGTATCGAAGCGGGCTTTGATTTTGTGTTGACCTAGTTGCCTAATTATTTTTTATGGCAATTTAATACTCTATATTATAATTTATCTGCAAAATTAAAGACTTTTGAAAAGATAAATCAACATTCTATATTAATTTTACCAATTACAATTAAAACGTCATTAAATGGAGAATTTGGAGAGAATCGGATTGAAACAAGGGTCAAACCCCATAACTTCTTTCGAATTTTTATGGGGAAAATTAAAAGACCTTATATATAAAGGAGGAACCATTGCATTGGGACGAGAGAACAATTGCAGAAGGCTACTAGGCAAGCTTTTGGACTTATTTGAACTTTGGCCTGATAAATCGCTGTGACTCTGTGCGCAAAAGATGTTTATTATGTATTCAACAAGGAGGTGCTCAGTTTGAACATCTGATGATTTTTTTTAGAAAACTATATTCATCACTCAAAAAATATGTTTTTTAGCTTTGTTCTTTGTTTATTGTATCGATTTCAATTGTAATTACTAAAACTAATATAGAATATTAATTTATCTTTTCAAAAGTCTCTAATTATGCAGATAAATAATAATATAGAATATTAAATTGCGATAAAAAACAATTAGACAACTAGGTCAACACAAAATCAAGGCACATTTCGATACAAAGATGAAAAACCTAATATTTCTTTCATTCTTAGAAATAGGTACCCATAACTTTGTATCATTCGAAATGGTTAAACGTCAGCATTTTTTTAAGTTCATAGCCAAGTATGATTTCCATTTAAAAAATTATATTTTTTATTATTTCTCACAAAAAGAGCAAGTATAGAAAAAAACTCACTACGCCACTGGATTGTGCTTAAAAAGGTGCCTTAAGAACGTCTTTACAGAATTTTATTATTTGGCGAATTAAAAAAGTTATGGACAATTTTCAAAATGGTAAAAAAATCAAAAAGACCCCGTATCTCAGTTGGCAGTGAAAATATCAACAGGCAATATTTATTACACGTGTCACAGAAATCGAGCCCATGACATCTATGTAGGTTTTGCTCTATCTAGTAAGGAAATAGGTTTTCTCTGTTAACAGACCAATTCCGACCACCCTGTACATTTACGGTATTGAGTTTTTTTAATTTTTTACAAATTTCCCCTGTGTCCAGTTGGCTTGGAAATGAACATCAATGACATTCCCCATATAATTTTACATGTAAAATGACAGCGATCTTTATTTCATAGCCATCGCTGAGGCCGTTTTTTTTCATATTGTATTACAACATTAGTTACTCTAAACAACATTATTATACAGTATGTCCCCGGATTGTCTTCACAAGAGGAGAAACTCTTTTATTATTGACATTTTAAAAGAAATGCGTTCCTCGTAAAAATGTTTGCTTGTTTTAAAATGATTGATCACGTTCATACTTTTCCAAATTTTCATACCGTTTTAGAGAAAATTAAAAGAAAAACATGAAAATGTAGTCGAAGTACTAAAAATTAAAAGGCGTTTCTATGATTATACAATTTCGATTTGATTCTTTGATAGATTGTTATAATTAAATTTGAATAACGTCATATTTTTTGATGTTGTCAAAGCATGTTGTCAAAGTATCACATTTTTCGATAACTATTATTACTCTTTCCGTAGCATTGAACTAAAAATTTTGTGCTTCTTTAACATTTTAAAACAACAAAAATTATGACGGTAATTAAAATTCTGTCAAAAATAATGTACCAAAAAAAGAAAATATATTGCCATAGAAACAGCTTTTCATTGTTAAGAAAAATACTTTCTATAATAGGACTACAGGAAAAAAATCGACTACACAGTTTCCTCTAAAACAATATGGACATTTCGAAAAGTATAAACGGGATTAAGAATTTTAGGACAAGCAAAAATTGTTATAAAGAATGCACTTTTCTCAAAATGTCATTAATAAAAAAGTTTTTCTTCTTGTAAAGACAATCCGGGGACATAGTGTAGCCTGCTCATAAACAATAATGAAAAAACTGCATTAAAAAAATTACAAAAAATGGACTATTATAAGAATGAAAATCTCAGATTATATACTTATTTTATTAAGTGTAAAAAAGTAAAAAGCATATAGATTTAGTAAAATACTAAAGATAGTTTTTCAATACATGCATAAACGCTGTAAATTTCATTTTGACATAAAATTGAAAATATAAACTTAGGTATAGAAATCACATACAAAATATGTTTGGAATTCAATGTAGAACACAAAAAGCATAAAATATATAGGCATAACAGTTCTATTTAAAATAAGCAAATTAGTGACACTTCCGGTTAAGCCGGAAGTGAAAAATATTTAAAAAATACAACTAACCTAAATAATTCAAAATTGTATCTAATACAAACCGTAAAATACTTCAAAAATACTTCAATAAATCAAGATACAATTGGCTTGCAGTACAGTAGAGATATAAAAAGTCTAGTGTGACAATAAACCATGCAAGAAAGATAGTTCCAAGTAGTAATCGTGTTTTTTCTTCTTCTACATGAATGGTAAGCATGATAGACACATGTACCATATTTTAGTCTTTAGTAAAGGTGGGTACTTGTTATTCTTGCACGTTTTATTGTCCTTCTGATCTATTTATAACACTTTTACTGTATTTTTTTATTTGTCTAGGCAGTATATTACAGTCGAAGATGAATTCCATTCAACCCTTACCGTCAGGATCTAACATCCTTGGAATGTCCAAGTACTTCTCGGCCACGTCGAAGGCAGTGTTCAAATTCTCCCAAGGATTGTCCTTGCTCAGTTTGCTGTAGTCGATCAAATCTGGACGATGACGATGTATAAGGGCGCAGAACGCCAAACCATCCTATTTAAAATCAAAACAATAATAAATAATTTCTATAATTTTGTGATAGGAGGTTCATTCATCAAACTTTAAAAGTTATTTTTGGTAAAATGCCACTGCATTACAATCTAGCATGTGAGCAATTTTTTGGCCTGTGAGTAACTTTTTACTTATAAACAAATTACTTTCACTGATCGAAACGTTTCTCGAAACATTTCCCGATGTAATTCCAATAACAATAAAAAAAACAACTAATCGTCTTGGTCTTGGTCTATTTCGATCTGTTTCGGAGTTTGCGGCAGAGACAAGCCAAGATTTCCCGCAACATAAGAAAAGCATTCACTTTATTTCTGAAAATATTTCGAGAAATGCTTCGCAAAATATTTCATGAAAATTTTTGTGAAACATTTCGGGCATAGTGTAGAATGTTGTTTTACATTGCTATAATATATTGTTTCTCAAAAAAAAAACCCTAATATTTATTTAATTAATCTGTTAACCCAGCCTTTTTTCCACAAAACAATAACCCTATTAGCCATGACCTTCTATAGATTATCTCATTTTACTTCATCATTAACTATTTAAACGTAATTTTCTATTTTAACGGATTTACAGAGAATAAATCGGGTGTGTTATTGTAAACAGGAAATTTGTCGTACCTTGAACGACAAGTGGAAGTTTTGGACGTTGACGTTTTTGTAAGGCGCGGTTTTCCTTTGACACCAAAGCAACAGACCCTCCTTGGCTGTCATCTCTTCTACGGAAATATCCTGGATGGCGAATCGCAGGATAATGGTCCAGATCATACCCAATGTCATCTTCAGGTTGCCGTCGACAATTTCTAAACAAAGAAAAATAAAAGAATGTTCGTCCATTCACAGCAAATTAATATTTTCTACAACTAGCTTAGAAAATGCAGTTTGACACACGGAAAACTCGATCTGAAATTGGCGTTTTGCAAACTCTCGTGTGCTAAGGATTTAGCGCACGACATGTGTCTTATGTGCATACGGCATGTGTCAAATTTAACATTTTTACCTCCAATGTTTAGTTGAAACGCCAAACGCAACGCAGCTATCAGAAAAGTGTCATCATTACATCGCAAATTATTCCACTAAACTGACAAAAACTGAGTGAGTCTGCTGCTAATTTGTAATCGTAGAAAAAAAAGCGTAAAAAACTTGTTCGAAAACTTCTTTGTATACTCGTTCGATTTGTGGTGAAACCAAACCAAATCCAACAAACTGTCGAACTCGTGTGCAAAACGCCGTTTTCGAAACTCGTTTAATATACTATTACAAATGCTCCTTAGTTTAGTCTCAGACGTGGTTAAATGGAAAGGTATTAACTAATATTAATATTACTGTTATATCCTTTTTGGTTCACATCACCACAAAAGAGGTTCAACATTTTCAAGGATTGCTGAGTTTTTTGAAGAAAACTGATTTTTTGGAAATTCAATATTATTTTTTCCTGTCGTTACTTTTGAGAAAATCGAAAAATTAATTGCACATTCTCATCTATACTAATATATGTACAGTGTGACCCACTCAAGACCGGGCACCCTCCATAAAATCTGTGTTTATCGTCCGATTTTGATGATTTTTTTTTCAAATATAAAGTTTCAAAAAATGTACTTTAGGGCTCAATGTCATGTTATTTCACAAAAAACAAGGCCTACTTAATAAAGTTTTTGTGGTGAAAAATTTGCAAAATCATATTAGCGATTTTTTTTCAAAAAATTTGAGTACACCCCTACATTCGGCATCCCCCAAAACAGTTCTGTACCAAATTTCGTTTAAAAATATTAATTATTAATAATTCTGCAGTTAAATTAAATAATTCCCTATTTTTGCCAATTTAACGATGAGTTATCACGTAACCCTTGAAAAAAACAATCCACAACAATGGGTTTTATTAGCTGTCAATTCTTGCAGCGTAGAATTGAATATTAATTTAATAGCACGCAGAAAAGTGTTGTATCAAGAAATATTATTTGCATTATGGAACAATTAAATATTAGGGATAAAATTGAAATTATTCGTTTAGTGGGTGATAACTATCTTCAAGCAGGAGAAGCTGCCAGAGAATTTAACAACAGACATCCCGACAGACCTGCAGTAAGTAGAAGCACGGTTCAACGAATAAATAGAGTTTTTAATGAAACTGGTTGTGTGTCAAAATACTTACTAAAAAACAGAAGGCCGGAACATCGAATAAATAGGCGGAATGAGGAAATATTAGAATATTTTCGTAACAATCCTCGTGCAAGCATTAGAGGCGCCAGTGTTGATTTGGATATACCAAGGGAAAATATTAGGAGATGTTTGCGAACTAATAAAGTTAAACCCTTTAAACCAAAGATTTTACACACTTTGGAAAACGGAGATGATGTTAGACGATTAGAATTCTGCTTATGGGCTCAAGCAGAGTATTTAAATAATAGAAATTTCTTAAAAGAAATTTTATTTAGTGATGAGGCAACATTTAGTACAAACGGAGTAGTATCCTCTCAAAATTCGCGATTCTGGGCAGTCGAAAACCCTGAATGGGTGATCAATACAAGAAGACAGTATTCTCAGAAATTAAATGTGTGGTGTGGCATACTTGATGATAGAATCATTGGTCCATATTTTTTTGAGAGAAATTTGAATAGTCCAACGTTTTTGAATTTTCTGATTAATGACTTTTGGGATGCAATACATAATTTACCATGCCAAACCCGTTTGAATTTAAAATTTCAATTGGACGGATCACCTGTGCATAACGCGGCAGTTGTCAGGGAATGGTTAAATGAAAATTTTGAAAATAAGTGGATAGGTCGAAATAGCCCGCTAATTGGTGGCCACCGAGATCCCCGGACCTAACACCCTTGATTTCTTTCTTTGGGGTTTCTTAAAGCAACAAGTTTACAAGTCTAGACCTCAATCTGTAGATGAATTACGTATTAGAATTACAGAGGCTTCTGCAAATATTACACCACAGCAGCTGAGGAATGTAACTGTTAATCTAAGAAAAAGATGCGACAAATGTATTGAACTGAATGGAGGGCTGGTAGAAGAAACTAGAATTATTTGAATATGTTTAACTTATTATTCGGTTATTGTGTTGCTTGTAGTATTTTTATCGTTGTTTGTAATAAAACTCGTTGTCGTGGATTGTTTTTTTCAAGGGTTACTTGATAACTCATCGTTAAATTGGCAAAAATAGGGAATTATTTAATTTAACTGCAGAATTATTAATAATTAATATTTTTAAACGAAATTTGGTACAGAACTGTTTTGGGGGATGCCGAATGTAGGGGTGTACTCAAATTTTTTGAAAAAAAATCGCTAATATGATTTTGCAAATTTTTCACCACAAAAACTTTATTAAGTAGGCCTTGTTTTTTGTGAAATAACATGACATTGAGCCCTAAAGTACATTTTTTGAAACTTTATATTTGAAAAAAAATCATCAAAATCGGACTATAAACACAGATTTTATGGAGGGTGCCCGGTCTTGAGTGGGTCACACTGTATAAAATCCTTAAGTGACTGACATACTGATTAATCACGATCCTGCTCAAACCACTCAACGTAAGAAGCTCAATTTTGGCATACAGGTTGATTCTAGGGTGTAGAGGTTCGATAAGAAAGAATTTTTCGAAATTCCAGTTCCAAGAGGGTGAAACCACCCCTCAAATATTACAATATTTTTTATTTAAAAAACGGTCAAGTTTCCGAAAAAACGCTTAAACCCGTATATTTTATTTTGTTTTTTTACATATTTTAAGATTTTTTAAAAATGTATACAGGGTGTTTCGAAAAATCTGATCGTTAATTAATCACGATCCTGCTTAAAGCGCTTGGCGTAAAAAGCTGATTTTTGGAAAACAGATTGACTTTAGGGTGTAGAGGTTCGGTAAGAAGGGATTTTTCGAAACTCGAATTCTAAGGGGGTGAAACTATCCCTCAAATATTAAAATATTTTTTATTTAAAAACCGGTGAGTTTTTCGGAAAAACTCTTAATCACGTATATTTTATTTTGTTGTTTTACATATTTTAAGATTTTTTATAAATTTATACAGGGTGTTTCATAAAATATGACCATTGAGTAATCACGATTCTGCTTAAACTGCTTGACGTTGAAACCTGATTTTTGGTAAACGGATTGACTGTGGGGTGTAGAGGTTCGATAAGGATGGGTTTCTCGAATCTCAAATTCCGAGAGGGTGAAAACGCCCCTCAAATATTACAATATGTGTTATTTAAAAAACGGTTAGTCTTTAGGGAAAACGCTTGGACAAGCATAATTTATTTGGTTTTTTTACATATTTTGAAATTTTTAAAAAAATCATACAGGGTGTTCCAAAAAGTTAGGTAATTTCTTAACCACGATTCTGCTTAAACTGCTTGGCGTAAAAAACTTATTTTTGGAAAACGGATTTTTCGAAAGTCAAATTCCAACGAGATGAAACTACCCCTCAAATATTACCAAGTTATATAATAATATCGCCACATTGTTATTTTATCATGCTGACATAAATGTGAGAAAAGTTTATCCAGTTTGTATGTTAATGGAAATTCTTGCTTTGCTTTATCATCACCATTACAAATGATTAATTCGACGCGAACGAAGTCGCTAATACACGCTAGTAGCCTTATATAACATAAATTTTCAAATTAGCTAATAGTTTCTCAGATACATAGAACTTTTTTTTAAATACGGACCTGCGTTTTTATTTCAGGTTTTGAAAGAATTCAGTCTTCTGAGTTCAACAACACTATTTACAGTGATTTTTAACATTTGTTATAATAATCGTAACAATATTGATGATCGTTAATTAACAGTGAATAAGGAAAATCGATCCAAAAGGAAGATTCAAATATGTAATATCCATCCAGGTCAGTATTTTAAAGATCTTATTTTTACCTTTTTGTATTATGAATTTGAAATCTGAATGTAACGATTTAGTAATAAATTCAGAATGCATATTGTACTCTTTGTTGTAAATATTGAGGTGTATTGATTTCACTTTTACAAATGACGTCAAATAATGCCCCCCCCCCCTGGCAACAGGTCCAGGAACCTCGCTGTCCATTATACTGTTCCATTTCCAATCCAACTTCCGGAGAAATGATTTGATTGTTTATATTATATTTATATTATTTACCACATTTTCAATGTTTTAACACATCATGGCAATTTTTTTTCCATAGCAACTTAAAATTACCTTATATCTATCAAAAATAGTAGATAAAATAGTACTTTAACCGCCAGGGTAGATTAAATGATACTTTAACAGTGAGGATAGGTTAAAATCTTTATTTCTTCTCGCACGTTTATTAATTGCTTCCATTTTTGAAAATGTTTGTATTCCTTTTAATAAGTTATTCGGGATTTAAATGGAAGTAGTTTGGATATGGCGTTTGTCGCCTCAGCCTGAATATCTGTTGGTAATTTACTTATTTCGTTTTGAGCCATTTCTGACTCCAATTCAATCAGCAATCGACACGAAAGAGAATTAAAAAATATTAACTCAAAACTGACAACTAAAGAGACATCTTTATTTGTCAAATTAAGCACAACGCCAACGCCAACGCCAACCCAGGACAATATTTTTTCTACTCGTAATAAATTCCTTCAAATAATAATTTCTGAATATTTTTTAAAACGTAACTCTCTATGGAAAAAAATATTGTTTTATACACGACGATAAAATTGCATTATCGTCTCCGGAAATTAATTCTCGCGATTTCATCGCTCGTGAATTAATCTTTTCGGGCAACGATAAAATACCATTTTATCGTCTTGTATAAAAATAACTAAAAGCCCATCACGATGAATAGGTTAAATAT